TTGCTGCCAAAGAGGATTAGTACAAGCCTCACGATAGGAGGTAGGTTCATAAGTAGAAAAGGCAGCAGACCCAACAATATAATCACGAAGGTGGATAGGAAGTTGAGTTACCCGGTGTGGTCGACCCGTAGGAGGATCGGTGGGAGAAAGAACCGGTGGAGAAGAAGGTGGTGCAGGGAGAGGTGGACCTTCAGGGAGAGCAGTCTGGTCAGGAGCAGGAGTGAGCAAAGGCGTCTCAATGAAGGAGGAACCTGTATCAGAATCATCAGAGAAGAGATCTATGGAAGGATTAATAAATAGTACATTAGTGGAAAGTGCAGGTAAGTGAAAGGAGGATAGGGAGGAAAACTTTTGGTGCTCCCAAAAAACAACATGGCGGGAGATACGAAGACGTTGAGAGATAGGGTCCCAACAGCGAAAACCTTTATGTTCAATTCCATACCCAAGAAAGCAACAAAGACGAGGACGAGGTTCAAGCTTGGTGTGTTCATGAGATTGAAGTAGAACAAAGCAGGCAGAGCCAAAAACCCGGAGATTGGCGTAAGGAGGGAGAGTGCCATGTAGACGTTCAAAGGGAGTTTGATTATGAATGACAGGGGTAGGAGCACAGTTGATAGTGTAAACAGCAGTGAGGGCAGCTTCCCCCCAAAATTTTTCAGGGCAGGAAGAAGAGAGAATGAGAGCGCGAGTAGTGTCAAGAATATGCCTATGTTTCCGTTCAGCACGGCCATTTTGCTGAAACGTGCCAGCACAAGAACGATGAGGCAGGGTACCATGACACTAAAGAAAGGAAAGGAAATCTGAATCCCGATATTCCACAGCATTGTCAGAGCGAAAAATTTTGATGGCTTTGGAGAATTGGGTGTGGACCATTTGGGCAAATCTATAATAAATGTGTTTAAGTTCAGACCTATTTTTCATGAGAAAAAGCCAAGCAAACCAGGAAAAATCATCAATAAAAACAACAAAATTGCGGGATCCCCCCATAGTAGTAGTAAGGGAGGGTCCCCAAATATCCGAATGTATAAGATCAAAAGGTGCAAGAGAAACAGAAGTACTTTTATTAAATGATAAAGCAGGTTGTTTGGCAAGTTGACAGGGTATACAATCGAAATGATTGGGAATTACAGGACCCAACTGTCCACTAGAAACCAAAGACTTTAAGCGATTAACAGAAATATGCCCTAAGCGACAATGCCAAAGATGAAAGGGAGATAATGAGGAAGTAGATGTAGGAGCAGCGATCTGAGGAGAGGCAGGAACATGAAGGTGAATGAGTTCATAGAGACGTCCACGCTTACGGCCGATCCCAATAGTCTGCCCCGTCTGAGGGTCCTGTACCAAACAATCAGTAGCAGAAAATGTGACAGTTAGACCAAGTTCACATAATTGACCAATGGAAATAAGGTTTAAGGTAAGAGTAGAGATATGATAAACTTGAGGTATGGATAAAGAAGAGGTGGAAACAGTACCAACATGACGAACAGACATGAGGGAACCATCAACAGTATGAATTGAGGGAAGATGAGGAGAGAAGGAGAAGGAAGAAAAGATAGTAGAACTGGAGGTCATATGATTACAACAGACAGAGTCAAAATACCAAGAAGAGTTACCTGGGGTGACAGACAAAGCAGTAGGAGGAGGTGTACCAGAAGGGGAGAGAAGTTGTTTGAGCATGGCCTCTACATCTGTTGGAGAAAAGCGAGGGGTAGACGGAGCAGGTGACTCAGAGAACCCCGCAGAGGCAGAAGCATCAGTGTAATGAGACTAATGCTCGGAAGCAGCAGCAGCAGTATGATGAGACTGATTCCCGGAAGCAGCAGGAGCAGTGTGATGAGACTGATTCCCGGAACGATGAAAGCTTCCCCGGGAAGAGCCACCGCGAGAGGAGTGGCTATTGGAGGATGATCGGGATGGATTACGAAAACAATCCTATTGCAGATGACCAGGACCAAGTTTGTTGCAGTAGCGGCAAGATCTGACGGGGCAATTGACCAGGAGATGGGTGGAAGGAAGGCCCCGATTCTAACAATAGAGGCACGCAGTGGTCCGCTGGGTAAATGATGGCCGGTACGGAGTAGTGGCAAGAACAGAGTCCACATGATGAGTTTGAAGTGTACCGAGACGAGTCTCCTCTGATAGCAACTCAGAAATTGCTTGTTCAAGAGTGGGCAATGGATGGCGATGAAGCAGATAGGCACGTACGGGCTCAAAAGAGGAAGTAAGAGCCATGAGAAAGTGCACCAACCTTTGCTGGTTGCGATAGATAGTAAATAAAACAACATCTTCGGGGTTATGCCAAGTTGGTTCTGAAAGAGCAAGCTGATCCCAAACAGAGTACATTTGAGAAAGGAAGTCATTAATGGACTGAGTGGATTCTTGGCGCATGCGGTGAAGTTGGTTCTGAAGTTGATATTGATGGGCAAGACCAGTAGTTTGGTATTGTTCTTTCAAGAAATCCCAGATGTCTTTTGCAGGAGTAGTTACAGAGTCAAGCTGAAAGCGACCAAACTGAAGACTGATAGAGGTAATAAAGGTATTACGAAACCAGGTAATGATTTGGTAATTCTTACTGTCCCATTCCTCAAGTCGGTCTTCATATGTAGTAGTATGAGCAGGAGTTTCATTAGTGGCACTGTCTTTTACCGGTTTAGTCACATCCCCGGTGACAATTCGCCAGAGCTTATTGCCTTTGAGGAAGGAGGACATGGCTTGGGCCTACAGAATATAGTTTGAACCATTCAAAATAACGGAAATGGGATGGGAGGCATCATGACGATCCATAATACTAATTTTAGTAGGTTTAAAGTAAGAGGAATAGACCTGTAGGAGCAAAATTAGGTAAAATAGAGTGCACCAGTGAGTCCGGAAGGTCGAAAATAGCAAGGAAAAGTATGCTGGACAGGGATGATGTCAGCAGTGATGTCAGCGGCGCACGTTAGCAGAGTGCAGGGAGGTGCACGTTAGCAGGAAGGCTGCGGCGCACGGTAGTGGACAGGTGCAGGCGCGACGCACGATAGCTGTTTTGGCGCACGCGGGTGCACACTAGTGAAGCGGCGCACGATAGGCGTTAGGGGTGGGCGCGGGTCGGTTGCGGCCACGGAACCTCCCATTCGCCATCCGTCCGCCAGATTGGCGGATTGAAGAAAATCAATCCGCATCCGTCCGCCAATCCGGCGGATGTGGATTGAGGGGATTGGCGGTTTGGCGGATGGATGTGAATCGATTTGGCGGTTTAAAATTTTATAAATTTTCAACATAATTCAACTTGTGCACTTCCTCAAACGAAAAAAGAAAAAAAAGAAAAAGAAAGTGTTACAGTCAATGACTTAAAAAAATATTACAATCACTATATGCCTTATCCAAAGAAAAAAAGTTTGAAACTTTAGAATATCATGATCACTGCATGCCTCATCCACATATTACAATCACAGTATGATTCATCCCCATAAAGTATTACAATCTGTGATTCTTAAAATATAATAGTATTACGAAACCAGGTAATGATTTGGTAATTCTTACTGTCCCATTCCTCAAGTCGGTCTTCATATGTAGTAGTATAAGCAGGAGTTTCATTAGTGGCACTGTCTTTTACTGGTTTAGTCACATCCCCGGTGACAATCCGCCAGAGCTTCTTGCCTTTGAGGAAGGAGGACATGGCTTGGGCCCACAGAATATAATTTGAACCATTCAAAATAACGGAAATGGGATGGGAGACATCATGACGATCCATAATACTAATTTTAGTAGGTTTAAAGTAAGAGGAATAGACCTGTAGGAGCAAATTTAGGTAAAATAGAGTGCACCAGTGAGTCCGAAAGGTTGAAAATAGCAAGGAAAGGTATGCTGGACAGAGATGATGTCAGCAGTGATGTCAGCGACGCACATTAGCAGAGTGCAGGGAGGTGCACGTTAGCGGGAAGGCTGCGGCGCACGGTAGCGGACAGGTGCAAGCGCGGCGCACGATAGCTGTTTTGGCGCACGCAGGTGCACACTAGTGAAGCGGCGCACGATAGGCGTACAGTAGCAGGCGCGGCGTACGGGAGAGGCAGGGCTGACGTCAGCCGCGGATGTGTGGGCGCGTGTGGACGCGTGGCGGAAGTGAGCAACAGCAGATGGCGCGTGCGGGCGCGTGTGAGAGTGGTGGCGGAAATTGGCGGATTTGAGAAAATCAATCCGCAACCGTCCGCTCGTCATCACGCATCCGTCCAAAATGTGGCGGATCGGTTTGGTTCAGTCGGTTTTGGCGGATCGGTATATCCGCTGCTCACCCCTAATAGGCGTACAGTAGCAGGCGCGGCGTATGGGAGAGGCAGGGCTGATGTCAGCCGCAGATGTGTGGGCGCGTGTGGACGCGTGGTGGAAGTGAGCAACAACAGATGGCGCGTGCGGGCGCGTGCGAGAGTGGTGGCGGAAGTGATGACGCGCAGGGGACAAAAGCGGCGCGTGTGGGCGTGTGGAAGGTTGTTTGAGAATGGGCTTGGTGCCGTTGGAATCGTGAGGAAATTCCGAGCAGTTTGATGTAGTGCCACTGTGTACGGGACTAAACACCAGAATCGAAAATTGCCAGAAATGTAACACTGGGCTCTGATACCATGAAAGATAAAATTGATAGAGAGAGAGAACAAGTGAATAAATGAAAATGTGTATTTCATAGATTGATTTACAAAGGGAGCCTAACTCTCTTCTTATAGCCTGTGATACATTGTGATACATTGGAGAGAGAGCCACCGAAAGCATAAAGCTAAAGTAAGCTAATTATGAAAGCTAAAGCTACACTAATTATTAAAGCTAAAGCTAAACATAATAATATACATAATATTATACTAACACTCCATATTATCAATGCACTTTTAAACAGTCTCCCTATCATCAATGCACTTTTAACCACGTAATTGTGCCTTGAGATTCTTGTATTTTGAGATTTCACCACATTACTCAATCAAAAATGTCATGTAACACACTAGATTAAACGGTACCCAAACATGTTCACCATATCATTATTCAAGTAAGAGACACTGTTTATAACTTAAAGTTTTTGCCAAATTCATAATTGTGTAATCAACAGGATACATATTCTCCTATTTTCACTAATGAAAATCTAATGTGCCTTAACAAAACTTAAAAACAATGTAACTAATAATTAACCATTGTAAGTTGTACACATGGGGGTCCTAAAAGCATTGTTTATGGCACATTTTATTTAAAGGTATAGTTTGGAAGTGTATATATTTCACAAAAATATTTATTATATCTGCAATTGGAGAGCTCAAAATGCCGTGTAAATTTGCATCTGATTTAAGATATGCTCAAAATTATCAGTAGACTTCTCAATTGAATGTGAATGCATTCCTTCGTAAGTTGTCACCACTATTCCTTCATCTTTAGAAAGGCGTTGAACTTGCTTCTTGACGTTACAACCTTGATGAGTACATCGATAGTAGCTTCTACGAACAAGAAACAAAAACAAGTTAATTTGCATGTAATGGTTATTATGATTACTTCAAATCTTTGAATTTCAACCAAAACTTGAATTTCCAAACACAGCTAGTTTTAGTTGCACACGGGCATTATTTTTTTATTTATTTATGAGGGAAATAATTTTCATTAATAAAAAGAAAAGATACAATGTCTTAATACATGGGCATCACAGGCTTTCTTGAGTGACTCAAATTCTACACATTCACGTGAGAAAAAATTCCCAAGTACACATTTACAAGTGCATTCTTGTCCTACCCGATGACAAAATCATCCCACTTCTCTTCTCTAACCTGAATATTTGAGATAAGGCAAAGGTAAGGTAGAAATGGAAGCCTGTACTTCTTTACAAAGTCTACGTATTAAAACTTTCAATATTTTTGTGTTTCGGGTTTTGGTATTCACGGTGATTTGTTTGGGTTTGTGCCAATTTAAATTATGATTTTAAATAACAGTATAGAATACCTATTATGTAATAACTGATACGAAACGTATCAGCTGATATATTTAAAATCCTAACCTAGTTGAGATTCTCTAATCCCTATTATCTCAATTTACCTCATTATTTCAAGTTAATCAAATCTTCTATTTGCCAATCAAATATCATACCCTATAATTCAGCAGTAACCAAGGGATTGATCACCAATTGTCCTAAATACATATGTTGAAGTTGAACATATTCATCACATATGATTCAATAATTAAGCAGCAGGACTTTTCTTTCCTCTACTATTCATTTATGTTTAGTCCTTCCCATGGGATGTCCATTTTCTTAACATTTGCAGCTTTGTTAAGTAGGATTAATCCTGCTCATGAACTTGTTGATCCTTACAATCACCTTTTTTATCATGGCGGTTATTTCCCATACAAGAGAGAGGGGATGTTTAGCGAGTGATCAATACCAAACCGGTGTGATGGAAGAGGCAAAACCCTTCAATGAGTTATACCCATTTTTAAATAGTTGTTATTATTGACAAAAGGGTATGAATGACACCATTTACACTCTAAATGGATGTTTCTATGCATTTCATTGCATTGGTTTCACACATATGTACCAAACACTGTTACGATTATTGAAATTTTCACTCACCAAAATTATTGATGTAAAAGTAAATGTTCGTACAATGGTTTCGGCGAGCAAAAATTGCGGTGATTGTATATTTTTCTATTTTTACCTTCCATCTCTTTTTGTCTCTCTCTCTCTGACATGATATCTACCCTAACCACAGTACTACCGAGATTATTTGGTCTTTTTTAGACCAACAAAACTAAATTGTGTAAAGAAAATGATGAAAATGATCAATCGAATAGATTAAAAGCTTTGTCAAAATGCACATGTATGTGAAAATAACAATGGTACAAGTGGAAATGCATCGTTTGAGCTGTGTATGACCCAAGTCGATCACCTGATCCGCTCCCCGGATCAACAAAAAAAGAAAAACAAAAAACAAAAAACAAAATTTTGTTATGCACAATAAGATGATGCATATGCAAATCGAAGACTCAAAATTATAATCAAGATTATTATGCGTACCTTGGGAACTTGTTGTTCTTCACAGCTTTCTGTCCATATTTCCTCCATCTATATCCATCATCAAGAATGTCAACATGACTCCTTGTTTGAAAAGCAAACCTAGGCTTCCTAATCTTCTTCTCTCCCTTTTTCTTCTCTGATGATTTCATTTCATCATTAATTTCAGTTCCAACAACAAAGCTTTTGCTCTGAGAAACACCACCATTATTATTATTAGCTTCTGAATTTGGAACTCCCATGTTTGTCATCAACCCTAAAAACCCATTTGCTTTGTCACCTTGAAATTCATGGTAAGCTTGAGAATTCACCATGTTCAATGACAAGTGAGAAGCTGATGATGTTGAGGATGAAGAACATGAAAAGATTGATGAGTAGTTGTCCATGAGAGAGAGAGAGAGAGAGAGAGAAGCATATGAAAATGGTTTTTGTGTGTTGGAAAAGTGGGATATAATGTCATCGTTTGGAAGGATGGGCTGGGGTGGCTGGGGGCGGGTTGACAAAATAAGGCCTCGCTTGGAATAGATTTGTTTAGTAATTTTTTAATTTTTTGATTAAAATATGATGTAAAAAATTAATATATTTGAGATAATTTTTTAATTTTTTTACGAAAAGATGTACAAAAAGTAGATAATTTTTTTTTTTGATTTTTTAGTATAGATTATTAGTTTTTTAATTTTTTTAATAACATTTTGACTTTTAAGTTAAAAAGTGATATTACTAAATGAGATCTAAGTTTTTTTTATTTTCGGTTAAAAAATGTTACGTTCAAATCATAATTATTTTATTTTTTAAAAAAAAATTTAAAAATAAAAAAATTCATCTCAAACAAAATTTTTTAATTCTAAATTAAAATAGTTAAAACTCATATTCCAAACCAACCTAATGTAAAGTTGGAAAAGGGAAGGCGGCTAAAGCTTGATGGCTACAGCGTCCTCTGTATGTATGTTTGTATGTATGGATGTGTGGTTTATCTTTATGCTAGTTGTCGTAAACGGCACGTAAATAGACGGTAAGATAAGATTGGTACCAAGAAAAGGTAATGTCGTTTTAGGCATAAATCATGCTATAGAAAAAGTTGAAAAAAATGTGTACGTGGTGGCTTTCGTGATCAGTTCTTCTTGATACACAAATAACATGTATAATCTTCTCACATGTAAATATGGTGGTTTTACTACACGTTTGACAGACTCATTTATAAAAAAATTTCTGGTTTTTTATATATCAATATGTCTAAAAAATTGTTAGAGGCAAAATAAGTATTTTACGGATTATCAATATATTAAAAAAGTGTATAAAATTTATAGATATTTAACTCTATCATATAGGATTGACTTGTAATTTAACCTTATATTTTGGGGTTGTGATAGAATTTTGAGTACTTAGAATTTTTCTTTTGTGATTAAGTTTAGAGTAATGTTATATTTGCAAAACATTTATACATAATTTTGATTCAAAATAATGTGACATATTTGGTTCTATCAATTTAAAACAAAAATTTATCAATGTGATTTATATTTTTTAAGTTGTCATTACCATGTTATTTTTATTTACAAGTTTTATGGTTGTGAATCACTTTCCTTAAGCTTATGAAAGTAATTCCATTATGGATATATAATGATTTGCAAATAAAAGAATGTATATAAAAAAATAGATAAAAAACTAGTAATGAGTTGTAAGCTAACTTTAAATTCAATGTTTTGTTTATAAAAAGATCACTATCATTTCAATTTTAGTAGCTAATTAATTTTGTACAAACATTTTGGAAGAATAATATTTTTAAGGAAAACTTATCAATCAATCTTATTAACTAGATTTATTTATTTATAAGTTTTGGCTGATAAATTTATTACTATAATTTTATTTATAAAAATAAGAGAGACTGATAAATTTATCAATAAATAGGTAATAAATTCTAAAAATAAGACCTATTAATAATTTATTATATTTTAATCCATAACCATATATGGTGATACGAGTGACCCAAATATTTTTGGATGTTATATATTCATAAATAAATAAATAAATAAAAAGAATATGATGACAGCTTAAACAATTAAATAGCATAATGTAATTCAATGCATAAAATTATCCAAATACATGATTTGAATTGGACCATAACTATTATTTTGGATGTTAGGCTACTTAATAATTTTAGCCCCACGAGCATGGGACCATTAGTGAAAAGCCGTCAGCCAGTCAATTCATTAATACGTGTAGCCATCCCTTTAGTCAAACAATGTGATTTTCAAATTTATTATTATTATTATTATTGGCCTTATAATAATATAAAAATTTCCAATCTCATTGACTACCAAAAGTAGAATTTTATTTAGTGTGTTTAGTTTGAGTTTTTTGAATTAAATTTTTTTTTAAATTGAGTTTTTAATTTTTGTATTTTTTTTATTTTTAGTGAATATTTTTAAAATCTTAATCATTTTTTTAATTTTTTTAGATGCACCTTACTTAGATGTATCTAAAAAGTAAAAAAATTTGTGAAAAAACATTTTTAAAAATGAATAAATACATAAAAATATAAAAAATGTATTGAATTCTCATTTTTTTTAAATATATTTTTGGTATTTAGTAAATTTTTAAAAGGTTTTTTTCAATTTTTTTTTACTTTTTAGGTATATTTATATTAGGTATGTCTAAAAATTTTAAAAATTGCTCAAAATATTTTAAAAATTCAACAAAAATAAAAAAATACGAAAAATAAGAAAGTAAAATTTTCTGAAAAGTATTTTTAAAAAATGATAACCAAGCAAACTTTCTTCCTAAGTTATTTTCTTTACCGAGCATGATGAATGAGATTAGCTAGTTGGAGATGAAAAATAAAAATGAATATAAAAAAGGGATAAATTATGCATTTGCTTTCGTTATTTGAGTTAAATTTTATTTTAACTCTTTATTATTTTATTTTGAATAATGTGGTTCCTGTAATTTAAATTTAATTTTAATTTGATCATTTAATTTAAATGTAATATTAAAATTAACGATTTTATAAGAGTGTCAATCACTTAAGATGTACAAGTATAAAATTTGGATAAAAAGATCAACTTAAAATTAGACTTAATGTATATTAAATTATTTAAATTGAAATAATAAAGATTAAAATAAAATTTAAATCGAATTATAAGAGTTAAAGTGTAAATTTTCTGAAATCAAGTTGATTGTTCAACTTCGTTCGAAAAAAACAGAAAAGTTGATTGTTCAACTCACACGTATGGTATGAGTTAACTCGATAGAAACGGCCGGGTCAATGAACAACGGCTGAAAATATAAAATAAAATAACTAGTCAATCAACGGGCATGTTAAGCTGAGATCAGACCCACGTGTTGCTTGACGAGTTCTGGAAGTTGAACGTTTGTTTGTAGTGCTCTGATTCATGTTATGAAAATCACAAATTTTGAACAATTCGTGAATTTAAAGGAAATTTTTTCTTAAAATTTTTAAATTAAAAGAAAAGAAAAAATAATTTAAATGATTTACTTTGTTTGGGTTACAAGAAAATTCACATAAAAGAATAATTTAAACTTTCTCACAATGCATAATTTTGCACTTTTTACAAAATGGTATTTGAGAGTGTTTCCTTCAAGAAAATAGTTATAGTGAAATTTAGATTTGATTTGGAAAGATAGTCGAGGTTAATTTAATCCATTAAAAGATAAAATAGATTAAAAAGTTAATAAGACAAAATATTATATTCAAACCATAATAATTTTATTTTATTTCTCACAAAACTACAAAAAAATTAAAAATTTATCTCAAACAAAACTTTTTTAGTCAAATTAAAATAATCAAAAAAAGCAAACTAAAAAAATTCATCACAAACGACCCTTGCATGTTCCTGCAACAAATAAACACATACAATTCCTTACATTGTCAATTGAACGTAGCATAAAATAGTAAGATAAATTGAGGTAGGTTTGGAGATGAGGTATTCACTGATTGAATGTAATTAAAAAATCATTTTTTAATATTGGATTAATCTATGAATTAGGAACTACGAGGTTATATGTTGATGCTATTCATTTAAATTATTAGTTTGAGATATATATATATATATATTTCTTAACAATTTAAATTTTAGACAAATTATGAGAACTAAAAATGCACAAGAATCAAAATATAAATATTATCGACATAATTTTTTGTTAAATTTTTAAAACAATTAGTGATCTAATGTATTAGATCTTTGATTTGATAAAGTTCCTAATTTCTTATCGTATTATATCTTTTTGCTTTTAGTTTTTCTTTGACCGTAACTCCTCGCCATAAGTGGATTGGACTTTAAAAAAATATATTATAATCTTTAGCCAAACTTTTAACCATATATTACAAGGAATTCAAGGGATGTGGAAAATTTTGGATGTGCCATTATTCATAGTCCACGTTGTTGGACGATTGCAAGCTAGATAAAGAGAGAGGCCTCGTGCGTGAGCAGATAATATGAGGACGTCATATAGAGAAAGATCACTTGTACCTTTTGTTTTGAATTTAATTTTGAGTTAATCTCTTGGTGGTTTGCTGTTAAAAAAGAAAAAGAAGTCTCTTGGTAGTTTTACAGGTAAATAAAAAACAAAAGGGATTGGCTTGGAGGATGTTGCTGGGCCTTTGGGGGCCATCACGAGTCTCGTTTTGATAATCCAAACTGTTTAATATGTAGAATTCGTCGAGTGTTATATGTCTGTAAAAAATCACATTGATCGGATATCGATAGCTATTTCATCGGGTCAGATTTTTGTTAACCATTTATTAATACAAAACTGATTTGATCGCATAATTATCGATATCCAATCAACGTAATTTTTAATGTATCTATAGTACTTGACAAATTATACATGTTATACGGTTTAAATTATCAAAATGGGACTCATGATAAGCACCTACGGATCCTATAACACTCTCAAGTTTGATCACGAGCCGGAGGGAAACCAAACCCAATAAAAACAATGGGTTCCGTAGCGGATTTGAATTCTTACTATTACATACTTGGTGGTTTTGTAAGGAAACAATGGGTTTGATAACTAATTCAAATCCTCTCCATTATATGATGATAAGAGAAAATTTTAATTTAAAAAATCATGCGTTGGGAAGTTATTAGGTGCTCTTGGTGCATGGTGGTCACGTGATATTTCAGGAGTGTTGTGATTTGTGAAAAAAGTATGATCTATGATTTTGTATTAGTGATTAGGAAAGGTGGCATGTTGTATGATAATTAATGGATAACGTATGAACACGTGGCGCTCTAAGAACACCCAATAATTTTCATATTATTTGATTTGAAATCCTATCTAGACATGAAAAAGAAAGTTATCTTGAAAATTACTCTCTTTTTTTATTCTTTATTTTTTAAGAAATGTAAAACATATAGGTGCAATATTATAAATGAGAAATTATTACACAATTTTCTTATATATTAGCAAATTAATTTT